GGATATTGCCAAGAAGGTACCAATACTGTATCAAGCTCTATGGAAAATTACTGTTGTCATTCTATTTAGTCATTGTTTGCCCAGTGCTTAGCATTTAATGAATATTCACTAAAAGTTCATTCATTTGAATTTGTTTCCATAAAGCTATAAAGCTAAGAAACTTTCTACACACTTGAGGATTTCACCATCAGCTCATCTTTAATATTTTATGTTATAGTAAACACAGCTTCAGGATTAGAAGTTTTAAAGTCTTGCACAAACAAAAGAAGCAACTGTAACAAACTGTTGTATAGCAAACTGCTAAGACAGCTAAGAGCAATATTTAAAAACTTTTCTTAGGTTTCCCTCTAGGAAATCAATGGTTGCAGGGACCAAGGGAGCTTGTTGATCACTCTGAATAAAAATAGAAAACATGGACTGGTGCAGTGGCTCACACCTGCAGTCCCAGCTACTTGAAGGCAGAGGTGGGAGGCTAGGTAAGTCTAGGAGTTGAAGGCTGCAATGTGCTATCATTGTGCCACTGCATCCCAGCTTGGGTGACAGGGCAAGACGCTGTCTCAAACATAACAAAAACTGAGCCTTTAAGGTAACAAAATACAGTGTCAAAAGAGGCCCTAAAAATACCAATTTGAACTCCTATTTTTAAAATACTGGAGGCATAGGAAAACAGTTTATATCTCTTCTTTATGTCTGATATATTAAAATAATTTAGTTAATAGTTCTTTTCCTCTTCTGCCACTCACAAAGGCACCAATATGTATTTTACCTGACAAATAATTTGTTGAGAGCTTTACTATAGGTATCCTTTCCAAGACATATTAGTTTGATGAGTCTTACAACCTCTAGAAAACTTGCTATTGAGATCTTTAAAAAAAAAAAAATTAAGGCGACAACACAAACAAAAAAATATATATACACGTCCCTCTGTAGTCTCATTCAGGAGTTCGTAAGTGGGCTAAGCTAAGGTTTTCATCCCACCACAGTCTATTCTTCTCTTAACTGTAGTCTCATTCAGGAGTTCTTAAGTGGGCTAAGCTAAGGTTTTCATCCCATCACAGTCTATTCTTCTCTTAACTGTAGTACTAGCATTGTCATTTGTTTTGAAATAGTACGATGGCAAATGTTTTAACAGAAAAGTTCCGAGGAAAATCCAATCAGACATTTTGTAAATAATGCCAAGCACAATGTTGAGTGTTGTGAGATAATAGATATATAAAACAGGGTCCCCGAGCATAAGCTGTTCACAGTGCAATTAAAATTACCATCTTTTTTTCTTTTTTTGAGACAGGGTCTCCCTGGGTCGCCCAGTGGTGCCATCAAAGCTCGCTGTGGTCTGGACCTTGACCTCCTAGAGGGCAAGTGATTCTCCCCTCAGCCTGTGGAGGAGGTGGGACTACAGGTGTGGATTGATTATTATTTTTTAGAGACCGGGGTCTTGCTATATTGCCCAGGCTGGTCTCAAACTCCTGGCCTCAACTGATCTTCCAGGCTTGGCCTCCCAAAGTGCTGGGACTACAGGCATGAGCCACACGGAAGGGCCAGAATTATCTGTTTTAAGTTCCCACTTGCCTCTTCTCCCCTCCAGGACTAGAATACATGCCTTTGTTAGCTTACTCATTGATAGATCCATGAGGTCTGTGCTCAAAAGTTTTAAATGTTTTGTTTTCACTTTAGTGGTTATCTCAACGACAAATATAAGATTATTCTGAGACATCTGAATCACTATGTCTCATCTAAGTAGTGCTTTGTGGCTTCTGCTCTGTGCTTTCTTTGACACAAACTCTGCAGATTACACCAACTGCCCAGGAAAATGAGAAAAGAATGGAGCTGAACTTAAAATGTGACTGTATCTATGACTATGGAAACTTAATGACCTCATAGCTTACTATAAAAAGGGAACCGAGCCACCACATGGCCTAGGGCAGTGTTAACAAACTAAAAAACTCCCTTAACTTTTAACAGTTGCTGCCATATTCCCAATACATTGGAAATTTAGTTTCAGCAAAATACCAAGCACACAATCAAAAATTTACACTGGCTTTGTTTGTATTTAATGTATTTTAGTTTAAATTTTATCTTATTTAAAATGGCGTCTCACTCTGCTGCCCAGGCTGGAGTGCAGTGGCGTGATCTCGGCTCACTGCAACCTCCGCCTTCTGGGTTCAGGCGATTCTCCTGTCTCAGCCTCCTGAGTAGCTGGGACTACAGGTACACGCCCCATGCCCAGATAATTTTTGTATTTTTCAGTAGAGATGGGGTTTCACCATATTGGCCAGGCTGGTCTTGAACTCCTAATCTTAAGTGATTTGTCCACTTCAGTCTCCCAAAGTGTTGGGATTACAGGCATGAGCCACAGCGACCATGCTGGACAACTTTTATTTTATTTATTTATTTTTTGACACAGAATCTTGTTCTGTTGCCCAGGCTGCAGTACGGTGGTATGATCCCAGCTCACTGCAACCTCTGCCTCCTGGGTTCAAGCAATTCTTGTGTCATGGCCAGCCAAGTAGCTGGGATTACAGGTGCGGGCCACCACACCTGGCTAATTTTTGTACTTTTAGTACAGACAGGGTTTCACCATGTTGGCCAGGCTGGTCTCCAACTCCTGGCCTCAAGTAATTCACCTGCCCTGACCTCCCAAACTGTTGGGATTACAGGTGTGAGGCACAGCACCCAGCCTTTTAAATTTTAAAAAATATTTTTAAAGTAGCACACTGTAGCCTCAAGCTCCTGGTCTCAAGTGATCCTTCCACCTCAGCCTCCCTAGTAGCTGGGACTACAGGGCTACAGGCATGCCACCACAGCTGGCTAATTTTTATTTTCTGTAGAGACAAAATCTTGCCATGTTGAGCAGAATGGTCTCAAACTCCTAGCCACAGGCAATCCTCTTGCCTCAGCCTTCCAAAGTGCCAGAATTATAGGCAAGAGCCACCGTGCCTGGCTGTTTTAGTTTTAGAGTGGTTTGCAAGAGATTAAGAGTTTGTACTATTTTTTATGTTTGTACATATTTAATTGCATCCTAATACAAAACAGGAATCTGGTTTTCTCCTCTTACCAAGGGTGCACACACTACTCAAGAGAGAAAGTGACTTAGCTTTTACTCCGTGCGGGCCCAGCTAACTACCTTAATTCTTCAGAGGCAACAGGCAATCTGCCAGTAAACTATAAAGGTATTTTTAGCTGAATACTTTGGCTTTAAGTGGAAGGTCAATTGGGTACACAGACAATAACTCAATTTTTTAGGTCATCAAACTGATCTTCCAAATAGAAGAAACAGGTGATTTGGCCGACAGCACATAGAAGTGACTTTGCACATTTTCTTCAGGGTTAGGGACAGTATCCATGCCACAGACACTTAGCATTTACAGCCAATCCTCAATTTAAGAAGGAACATGGTATTCCTAACACACTTTGGTTGGTTTTAATGACAGCAGCTAAAGCCAAAACACCTTAAATGTTTAATGTAGACAATAAGAAAAACGTTCGAGCTATCCTTAATATTGTTAGAAGATATATTAGACTTTTCCAAGTCAAAGTTTTACACTCTAGAAATCAACACTGCATCCTTTGGCAACACACTAACAGAACTTATCAAAGGAAATTACGTAGCACACTATTGTGTACCTTAAGTTAATGCTAAGTTTGATGTCAGTGTTTAAGGCAAAACACCACAGATAGGGACTTGTTATTTTTGAGGGTTGCTAAATTTCAAGCAATAATGAACAAACATTTTACAATAAGCAGCTGATGCTTAATACTACTGTTAACACTGCAATCCTTAATATTTATATTTTTTGCCCCCCAAATCATTTTTTGGCAATGTGTAAAAATATCTATTTTCACTGGATATTCTCAAATAACATGGAAACTTAGGCTATTATCTATGCTATTGTTGTTTTCTTGTTTTTTCTTTCAATTACTTTAACATCCTAACAGAACCACACAACTCAAGTTAACACGGTTTTAAGAACATATGGAATGGGCTAACCCAATTCCCAACCTAATGAGGACAAGTGCAACATTAAGCAGAAACCCGCACGAAGGTCAAACACTAGACCAAAATCGTACTTTACGACAACACAACCTGATTTGTAAGAAAAATTGTTTATAAACAATTTAGGAAACAAGATACCTCGGCCCGTTCTCACTTCTCGGCCAGTCACACCAGCCCAAGAGGGCAGGGCGGCAAAAATAATTACAATGGAAGAGACAAAGGCTAGCCTAGATAACGATAAATCCTTTATGTTCGTAATTTGAACCAGCCTGACACTCTTGGCCTATTCCCCTACATCAAGAAGACACAAGTGCGTTTAGAAAATATTCCCATGTTTCCAATAAAACCCTGATTAATTTTGTGAGTAAAATTTTTTAATTCCACCGTTTCGATTTTTAGTCAAGTACGTAGTGAGTCCCATTGACTGAAACCTTTTTGGACGCTGACTGCGCTTAGCACTGACACGTGCCTGACCTCCTGCAGGCCTCACCGCCGCCGCGGGAAGCAAGCGCTAGTATTCGGCCTTTACAGGTGCAGACACCGAAGGCCGGACTTGACTCGCTGACGGTGGTTACACCGGTTGGCCCTGAAACGCCAGTCCCGGCCCACAGCGCGGCCCGCACACGAGGCACTGCCTTTGCAGTGAACCGCACGCTTACAAGTAGTTGGAGAGCTCTTCAAAGGGAAAAAACTTCTAAGCAAATTGAAGCTCGCAGAAAAACTTAGGCTCTCCGCCCAAGGACTGCGTCCTGGGCTCCCGCGTAAATCTAAGTGACTGCGGAACACCCGACCCACTGAGGCGCCGGAAAAGGGACGATTCGGAGAAAACGCGGGGCATGCTGGGACTGCCAATTAGTCGGCACTCATCACTAGCCAGTGACGGCGGGAAGCTAACGGTGGGGCGCAGGTGCCTCGGCCCCGCATCCCGGGCGCGCCCCTCCGCCCGGCGCGAGCAGGCCGCCCGCCAGACCCGATGCTGGGCAGGGCCCGCGGCCCGAGCACTCACCTTCTGCTCCTCAGCGGAGGCTGCCTCGGGGACTTCCGCAGACATGGTGCTCCCTCTGCAGACGAGACGCCGGGAAAAGATGGAATTAGCGGGTGGCCGAGGCCGCCCGGCCGCCGCCGCCTTAGGCCCGCCCGCCGCCCGGCCCAGCTCTCCCAACGCCCGCCGGGCCGCCTCCGCCCGCGCAAATGGCGGCAGTCTTATGATGACACGGAGCCGTGGGGCGCTCTGCGGATCGAGGCCTCCGCTCGCCGGAGCCCGCCTGCCCGTTTCGCGCCGCGCCCCTACCTACTTGACCCCGCTTGTCCCGCTCGCTGTCGTCCAAGCACTTCCTTTTTTCCTTCAAAGGTCGCGGCTCCCGCCTCACCTCACATCCGTCTGTGGCTGCCGAATGCTTCCTGGGAATTGTAGTTTCTAAGTGGAGCCGCCTCTCCCCGCCCTTTCCTGTCCACTCTGGCCCGCTGGTTCTAGGAGCTTTGCTGTTTCTACTTCCCCAGCCTTGCCTAGTTTTCTGCTCTGTTTGCTCTCTGCACCGTAGCCACACAGGCTGTCTTCTGGGCACACCAAAGTTCCTTCCTCCACTCTGCCACGCCTTCACATCTTCAGACCCGCGTCTCCGCCTCGGAACCTTTCCTTCCTAAGCCTCTGCACTAGATCAGAGCCACCTCTTAAAGGCGGTCACAGCCCTGAACAGTTCCTCAACAACACGAATTGTATCATTAGACAATTGTTGTGACTTTAGGTCACCTCTCCTGCTCAGATAAGCCGCACCAGAGCAGGGATCTCGTCTGTAATTACTTATATTTTATTTTGAGGGTCCAGCACTTCCTAGATAGACTTCAGATTCATTTGTCCACTCCAAGGGGGTCCACTCCCACAACTTTACCGAAACTGCTAGCCCAATTGAATCGCCAAGTCCTGCAGTTAAAAACAAAACAAAACAAAACTTCCTTTTTTTTTTCCTTTCTCTTTTTGGGACAGAGTCTCACTCTGTTACCCAGGCTGGAGTGCAGTAGTGCGATCTCGGCTCATTGCAACCTCCACCGCCTGGGTTCAAGCAATTCTCCTGTTTCAGCCTCCCAAGTAGCTGGGATTACAGGCACACACCACCACACCCGGATAATTTTTTGCATTTTTAGTAGAGACGGGGTTTTGCCATGTTGGCCAGGCTAATCTCAAACTCCTGGCCTCAAGTGATCCATCCACCTCGGCCTCCCAAAATGCTGGGATTACAGGTGTAAGCCACGACGCCCAGCCCCACCCCCCCCACCCCGCCTCCCTTTTTTTTTAAATTGGCTATGCGACCTTGGATGAAAAGAATCTGTTTCTGATAGTGACACTCGCAGGGGGGGCAAGTTTGAATTCCTGGGGGCCAGACCGGTCAAATGGAGAATTTGCCATGGGCAACAATCCACTTTGAGGACCTGTCTGGAAAGCCATTCTTTCCCAACTAACACCACTCTGCATCATTATGAGCCTTAATGTGTCAAACGGCACTCTGGTCTCCAGCACCCTGCTTCTTAAAAGTCCCTTCTCTTGGCCTCCAGGATACTATGGTCTCATGGATTTCCTCCTACTTCTCTGGCCTTTCCTTCTTAACCTCCTTGTTGAATCTTAACCTGCCTCTTAATGGGAGGATTCTAACAGTTCCGTCCTTGGATCCCCTTCTCTTCTAGGTTTACAAAGCCTCCAGGAAATAACTTCCACCTTCATAGTTTTTGTTTTTGTGTTTTGAGACAAAGTGTCACTCTGCCACCCAAGCTAGAGTGCAGTGGCATGATCTCAGCTCACTGCATCCTCCACCTCCCAGATTCAAGTGATTCTCCTGCCTCAGCTTCCCAAGTAGCTGGGAGCACAGGCACGTGCCATCATGCCTAGCTAATTTTTGTGTTTTTAATAATTGTGGGCCAGGTGTGGTAGCTCATGCCTGTAAACCCAGCACTTTGGGAGGCCAAGGCGGGAGGATCACTTGAGGTCAGGAGTTCAAGACCAGCCTGGCCAACGTGGTAAAACCTCGTCTTTACTAAAAATACAAAAAATAGCTGGGTGTAGTGGTGGGCACTTGTAATCCCAGCTACTTGGGAGACTGAAGCAGGAGAATTGCTCAAACCTACAAGGTGGAGGTTGCAGTGAGCCAAGATCATATCACTGCACTCCAGCCTGGGTGACAAGAGTGAAACTCTGTCTCAAAAAATAACAATAATAATAATTGTAGAGATGGAGTTTTGCTATGTTGGCCAGGTAGATCTCAAACTCCTGGCCTCAAGTGCTTTACCTGCCTTGGCCTCCCAAAATGGTGGGATTATAGTCGTGAGCCACTACGCCTGGTGGACGGTCATAGTTTCAACTGTCATCAGACATACCTTATTTTTTGGGGCTTCATTTTATTGCACTTCCTAGATACTGCATTTTTTACAAATTGAAGGTTTCTGGCAACCCTGCATCCATAGTCCATAGGTGCCATTTCTCCGACACCATGGGCTCACTTTGTATCTCTGTGTAACGTTTGGGTAATTCTTGGGTAATATTTCAAACATTTTCATTATTATTATATCCATTATAGTGATCTGTGATCAGTTATCTTTGATGTTACTATTGTAATGTTGGGGGTTACCACAAACTACTCCCAAATAAGACTGAACTTAACCGATACATGTGTATGCTCTGACTGCTCTACCAACTGGCATTCCCTTGTCTCTGTCTCCTTGGGCCTCCCTATCCCCTGAGACACAACAATAATGAAACTAGGCCAAATAATAACCCTACAATTTCCTCTAAGTGTTCAAATGAAAGGAAGAGTTGCATATCTTTTCCTTTAAGTCAAAAGCTAGAAATGGCCAGGTGTGGTGGCTCATGCCTGAAATCCCAATACTTGGAGAGGCTGGAGCTAGTGGATTGCTTGAGCCCAGGAGATTGAAACCCACCTTGGCAATATGGTAAATTTCGTCTCTACCAAAGATACAAAAATTAGCTAGTCTCATAACCTGTTCTCTAAATAAACAGATGAATAGATTAAAAAATTTTTAAAAGCTGGAAATGATGGGCCGGGAGCGGTGGCTCACGCCTGTAATCCCAGCACTTTGGGAGGCCGAGGCGGGTGGATCACGAGGTCAAGAGATCGAGACCATCCTGGTCAACATGGTGAAACCCCATCTCTACTAAAAATACAAAAAATTAGCTGGGCATGGTGGCACGTGCCTATAATCCCAGCTACTCAGGAGACTGAGGCAGGAGAATTGCCTGAACCCAGGAGGCGGAGGCTGCGGTGAGCTGAGATCGCGCCATTGCACTCCAGCCTGGGTAATGAGAGCGAAACTCCGTCTCAAAAGAAAAAAAAAAAAAAAAAAAAAAAAAAAAAAGCTGGAAATGATTAAGCTTAGTGAGGAAGGCATGTCAAAAACGGAGACAGGCCAAAAACTAGGCTTTTTCTGCCAAAGAGTTAGCCAAGTTATGAACACACAAAAAAGTTTTTGAAGGAAATTAAAAGTGCTACTCAGTGAACACATGAATGCTATGAAAAAAAGACAGCCTTTTTGCTGACGTGGACCAAGTTTTAGTGATCTGTATAGGAGATCAAACCAGCCACAACACTCCTGTAAGCCAAAGCCTAATCCCGAGCAAAGGCTTAACTATCTTCAATTCTGTGAAGCCTCAGAGAGGTGAAGAAGCTGCAGAAGAAAAGTTTGAAGCTAGCAGAGGTGAGTTCCTGAAGTTGAAAGGAAGCCGTCTTCATAACGTAAGATAAAGTAGAAAGTGCCGATGGAGAAGCTGCAGGAAGTTATCCAGAAGACGTAGGTAAGCTAATTGACAAAGGGGGCTACAGTGAGCAACAGTTTTCCAATGTGGACAAAATGACCTTCTGTTGGAAAATGTCATCTAGGACTTTCATACTAGTGAGATGTCAATGTCTGGCTTTGAAGCTTCAAAAGACAGGCTGACTCTCTTCTTAGGGGCTAATGCAGCTGGTGACTTTAAGCTGAAGCCAATGCTCATTTACTATTCTGAAAATCCTAGGGTCCTTAAGAATTATATGAAATCTCCTCTACCTGTGCTCTGTAAATGGCACCACAAAGCCTGGATGACAGCACATCTGTTTATAACATGGTTTAGTTAATATTTTAAGTTCACTATTGAGACCTACTTCTCAGAAAAAAAATGCTTTCAAAATATTACAGTTTATTGACAATGCACTTGGTCATCTAAGAGCTCTGATGGAGATGTACAAAGAGATTAATGTCACAGCATCCATCTTGTAGCCCACAGATCAAGGAATAATTTCAACTTTCAAGTCTTAATAAGAAATACATTTTGTAAAGCTATAGCTGTCATAGACAGCTGTCATAGACAGTGATTACTGTTATAAATGTAGGAAAACTAAACTGAAAACCTTCTGGAAAGGATTCACCATCCTAGATGCTATTAACATTTGTGATTCAAGGGATCAGGTCATTGTATCAACATTAACAGAAGTTTGGAAGAAGTTAATTCTAAAACCCTTATGGATGACTTTGAGGGGTTCAAGACTTCAGTGGAGGGAATAACTGCAGATGTGACAAAAAGCAAGAAAAACTACAAGTGGACGCTGAAGATGTAACTGAATTACTGCAGTATGATAAAATTTGAATGAATGAAGGGTTGCTTCTTAAATGGATGAGCAAAGAAACTGGTTTTCTTGAGATGGAATTTATTCCTGATGAAGATGCTGTGAATGTTGTTGAAATGACAACAAAACCTTCATCTGTACTCATTACCAACCTGTCTTCATCCTCCTCTCCCCACTTCCTTGGCAGCTTCTGGTGATGACCATTCCTCTCTCTACCTCCATGAGATCCACCTTTTCAGCTCCCACATGAGTGAAAACATGCTACATTTGACTTCTTCTGTCTGGCTTATTTTACTGAACATAATGACCCCCAGTTCCATCCAATTGCTGCAAATGACATAATTTCATTCTTTTTTACGGCTGAATAATATTCTGTTATGTATGTATACTACATTTTCTACATTCATTCATCCGTTGATGGACACCTAGGTTGACTCCATATCTTTGCTATTGTGAATAGTGCTGCAGTAAACATGGGAGTGCAGATAGCTCTTTGACATACCGATTTCCATTTTTTTCTTTTTTGAGACAGAGTCTTACTCTGCCACCCAGGCTGGAAAGCAGTGGCTTACTACCACCTCTGCCTCCTGGGTTCAAGCAATTCTTGTGCCTCAGCCACCTGAGTAGCTGGGATTACAGGCATGCACCACCACATCTGGCTAAATTTTGTATTTTTAATAGAGATGGGGTTTCACCATATTGGCCAGGCTAGTCTCGAGTTCCTGACCTCAAGTGATCCACCTAACTTGGCCTCCCAAAGTGCTAGAATTACAGGCATGAGTCACTGTACCTGGCCAAGGATCTGAAA